GATGTCTGCTCTCACTACTTTTATTCAACATTATACCTGAATTTCTAGCCAGTGCATAAGACAGGAAAAAGAAATAAGGCATCCAGCCTGGGAAGGAAGAAGTTATTAAACTGCCCTTGTCCAAAGAAAAATGATCGTCTATGTCAGGGTTGGCAAACTTGGTCTGTAAAGGTCAAGTAGTAAGTATTTTAGTTTTTGTGTGTTGTTTCTGTTGCAACTACTTAACTCTGCCATCATAGCACAAAAACAGCCATAGACAATGCATGAATGAATGGGCATGGCTGTGTGCCTATAAAACTTTATATAAAAAAATACAAGTTGGAGGCAGATTTGGCCCATGGGTCATAGTTTCAAATCCTTGGCCTGTATAATAAGTCCCACATAATCCATAAAACAAAAACAAAAGACCATACTAGAACTAATAAGTGAGCTTAGCAAGTTTCCGAATATAAGATCAATATATAAAAATCTATTGTATATACTAACAATGAACAATTGGAAGTTGAAATTTTAAAAATAACACCTTTTACAATAACATCCAAAAAAAGAAATATTTAGGGATAAATCTAACAAAATACATGAATAACCTATATACTGAAGTCTACATAACATTACTGAGAGAAGAAATTTAAAGAGACCTAAATAAATGGAAAAATATATTGTGTTTGTGGGTCAGAAGATTCAATAGTGTTATCAATTCTCCCTAAATTGATCTATAAATTTAATACAATCCCCATCAAAATCACAGCTGTCTTTATTATAGAAATTAACCAACTGGCTGAAATTCATTTGGAAATGAATTCCTAAAGTTCATGCATTTCCTTTTTTTTAATATATATTTTTTATTGATTTCAGAGAGGAAGGAAGAGGGAGAGAGAGATAGAACCATCAATGTTGAGAGAGAATCATTGATCTGCTGCCTCCTGCACGCCCCCAACTGGGGATGAAGCCCACAACCCGGGCATGTGCAGGAATTGAACCTGGGACCGTTCAGTGTGCAGGCCGACACTCTATCCACTGAGCCAAACCGGCTAGGGCATGCATTTCCTGTTATAATTAGGAATCTGGGACACAGCCCAGCTTTGGCTCTCTCCTCCTACGTCTAGTACTGCCACAGTACATGCTGAGTTGCAGTCTCTAAGTACAGGTATGAAACATGACAGCTGTCGGAGGGCAGAAGCCTGGCTCTGATTGGCTCAGATGAGTGTCCATGCAGCAGGTGCAAGGCAATGGGGAAGATCCGGCTTCCCAGGGTTAGGCCAACACTAAGATTTTTTTGTACCTTCTTGGGCCCATCTGTCCTATTTTGGTTCAGAAGATAGAGAACGCATAGAGAAGATAGAATGACTCAGTCCCAGGGGAACTGATCACCCAAGGGAAAGTGGGAAATACAGCAAATAAACCATCACTGCGGTGGTCACTGCCATGGCTCCAAAAGGCAAAGGGCACCAGAGCTGGATGCTGCTGGCACACGGGCTCAGAACAGCTTCTTGGGCTAGTGTGCACTGCAGAATGCGAAACAGAGGCAGGAGGAAGGGAAGACTCAAGATGCAGGACCAGGGTGGCCACACGGGGCAGCTTTTGTGACTGAAGCATTTAGAGAGAGCCATTCCAGGGAAGGCTGTCTTGCTTGGTGACTCTTTTTTACTATTCTGAAGCGTCATATAGTTTACCACCATTCCATCAGTGTTTCTTTGCAGTGACTGCATTGGCCATTCATTGGAATGTAAGGGAAATTGACTCCGTGTTGCAAAATGAAAGGTGAAACATGTTTTTCTTAAAATGCAAAAGGTTTTAGAAAATACATTATTAAAATGTATTGTTCAACCCATCCCTACCAAACATGGACTTAATGAAAATTATTTCAAACTTGGGCCTATGGGTTCTTGTTTTCCATTTCCAGTGCTGTTTTACCATCTAATACCTTCCTACTCATATGGTCAATGGACCAGCAGAGTCAGCAATCCCCTGGGAGCTTTTTAGAAATGCATCATCTTGCCCTACCCGGTTTGGCTCAGTGGATAGAGCATCGGCCTGTGGACTGAAGGGTCCTGGTTTGGATTCAGGTCAAGGGCAGATGCCTGGGTTGTGGGCTCAATCCCCAGTAGGCGGTGTGCAGGGGGCATTAGTCAATGATTTTCTCCCATCATTGATGTTTCTATCTCTCCCTCTCTCCCCCTTCCTCTCTGAAATCAATAAAAATATATATTTTTTAAAAGAAATGCATCATTTTGGTTCCACCCTAGACCGGCTGAGTCATAATCTGCATTTTAAAGATTCTCAGGTGACTTGTTTGCAAATTTAAATTTGAGTCATATGCATGCATATTCAGGTGCATATTAATGGGAGGTCATTTTCATAAGAACTTTAACTTCTTGTTATTGTTTTATGAGCATTTTTAATTACTTTGTATGCAGTGTACTCATTTCTCCCCCAAACACACACACACATACACACACACACACCTTAATTAGTGCTTATTTTATATTTTTATTATGAAAGCAACATATATCATTATAGAAAAGTTTGAAAATACAATAAAAAGGAAAAAGTACTTATAATCGTATCATTCCAAAATAATCACTGTCACCTTGGCCAGTGTTGCTCAGTTGGTTGAACATCATCCCATGCACCAAGAGGTCACCAGTTTCCTGGCCAGGGCACAGACCCGGGTTTCAGGTTCAATTCTGGTCAGGGCACTTATGGGAGGCAACCCATCGATGTTTCTCTCTCACATAAATATTTCTCTCTCTCTCTTTCTCCTATATCTCTCTTTCTCTCCCCTCTCCCTCCACCCCCTTTCTCTCTCTAAAATTAATAAAACATTTTTAAATAATAATAATCACTGTTAGTTTTAGATAGCTTTTTTGGTATTTTTTAGTCTTCTTTCTAACAATTTCTAACAATTTTATAGTTAACTCACTATGTATTTGAGTCTATAAGATGTAGTTTTATAATATACTAGAGGCCCGGTGCACAAAAATTTGT